AAAAAAAAAAAAAAAAAAAAAAAAATGGGGGATCACCGACTTTGTCTTGGAGAGAACATGCCTGGAAGAACACCCTAAATCTGAAAAACTCGGACTTCGTTTGCGAATAAGGCCACAGTGTCTGTAAGCCCAAAAATATTGCAATTAGATCTTCAAAGTGAAATGTTCTCTGCCAAATATTGTTTAGGTGAATTTAGTCTACTGGTGAGGTTCCTCAAAGTACAGGTTCCCATTTAGCGACCATAGTTTCACGCGCCTTGCAGCAGCAACATGGCAGGATTCTATGTCCCGTGGACAGAAATCTTGAAATTTTTTAAACTTCCCGCATTGATTTTTTGTTCATTTTTAAACAGTGTGGAGATAATTGTAAATAAGATCTGTTTCTGGAAAGAAAAGTAGGGGTCACCGAACATCCAAGCTCGTTAAATTTAGGCAAAGCTATAACAATGGCCATCTGTCCTATCATTGTTGATTTTATTACTTAGCGCGCACTCTCATACATGACGTGGCGTGTGAACTTGCGTGCGCAGTAAGGATGCGCGGAAACAACTAGCGCGAACGTCCTTAAGATAACCTCTAATGGAAAGCGGCCATTTTGTTGCTATCCGTCCATGCAGACAGGCATGCTACTTGTTTTGCGTTCGACCAATGAGACTTGAAAAGAGTTAAAAAAAAAAACTGTTAATCTTTTTTTAAAACATAACTAACATACCGCTCATTTGACACTGCGACAGGCTTGTTGTTCCAGTTATGCCATGATTGGCCCCTTCAATGAGGTAGTATCCAGCTTTATTTTTAAAACTCTTGTTGCTTACCTTAAAAAGAAATTATAATAACCACATTAAGTAAAGATTTTTTGTTGGTTCGGATCTTTGCTTAATTTGGGTAGCAGAACTCATATGCATAAGCAAGTAAAGACGAAAGATATAATGGCCCGTCGTTTCGGCGACGTACCTCACGACGCCGTCATCAAGGAATGAATAAATGAGAGCGAGTTCAAAAGAGCTAAGACCTCTAGATTTACATAAATGAAGTTAAGTTAGGCGAAGACTTTAGGGCGGATCGAATCTGTTTGTACATTCAAACGTGGCCTTAATTGTTTTATAATGGCGTCGTGAGGTCGCTGAAACGTCGGGGACATTGCATCATTAGTTTTTGCTTGCTTGTGTATTTCAAAAGCATTATCAATAAGAACTCAAATGAACAACACACTTCATAGCAATATGTAGAAATTCTATCGAGCGTATTGGAATATTTTTGCAGTGAGATCATTACCACATACAAAGTGTCATGTGTTCAGAGAATCGATAAATGGTGCCCGCTGCGATCAAGTTAGTTTGCCCTCAGGGCCTAAGTTCCTCCTCTCGAGAACAAGGTTTCTGTTACAATAACCGGGGAACACGTGCCGACAAGAAATTTTCTACTCTTGGTGTTGTCGCAATGCCCTTATTAAAAAAAAGGCTTTGCCTTTTTTTTAACTTGGAACATTAGAATGAGCACATTTATTAACTACTACTTTATCGTGAGTGAGGTCTCTACGAGAAAATCTCAAACCGAGATCTTGCAGTATTGACCGAGCGATAGCGAGGTCGATATGGCAAGGCTGAGGTTTGAGATTTCCCCGTAAAGACCGAACGTTCGAGGTTAATAAGTTGTTTATTGTATGGCTTTTTCTTTGTCTTTGCAGGCCCATATTCGGCCCATGGACATTGCGGGAGAGTAATGCCCTAGTGTTAGCCAATCAAGGCGCGCGTTATATCGGCTACAAACGCTAGTCATATAATGAAGGTAATTATAAGCTGGAGTCTGTGATTTTGAATTTCAAGTCAATTAAATCAACCCAATCATTTCATTCATGTGCATTTGTGTATAAAATGAATCAAATACTTCAAATCAATAATTCATAAAATGCCACTCTGTTAAGTTGGAGAAAACACCTGTTTTCCACAAGATGGCGACGCTTTTAGAAATGTTCTGAGACAGTTAATATTTTATGTTGCAAAGCTTTGATATGCGCACAGGGTGAGTTCCAAAGTCTCGCCGTTAAAGCTCATTAACGTGGCCAAGTGTCCGGTCATTTAATCAGATTGATATAAAGTAGAAAAGATATATTTTCTTATGAGTGGGTTCCATTTACACGTATACAGACATTACCAAAATTGATTAAAGTGTTTCACAATGTCTTCTACCAGGTGTATCGCTCTATGATTAATCATTAGAACCAGCTAGAAAAAATTAAATTATAGATGGTGAATCATTTGGAACCGTTTGAAAAGCGAGACAATGCTTTAAGCAAAGCGGCTTGTGGTTAAGTGTGCCTATGCATTGAATAAATGAGTAATTGAAGAGCGATTAAAAACGACAGAACAGCTTGGCGGCTTTGCAATTATTAGGGAACTTTAAAGTGTCTTAATGCAGGAAAATGAAAATTGTGCGCATACTCACAGAGCTAGGGCTTCTTTTATTGTTCCTCATAAAATTGTACTCGAGAAGGCTGTCTTCGTCATCGACATCTAGATCAGTCAAATCATCTAATTCTTCAAAATCATCCAAAGTTGGTACATCGCCATCCGAAAGGCTTCGGAATCCGACGTCATCTTCGGAATCATTCGGCGTCCACGAGAATGCATTCGGATGTCCATTTACGAAAGCAATTGTGTAGGCAAGGAAGCTTAGAACAAACATCAGCTGTGGGTGGAAGAACATAACAGGAAAACTTTATGACTTTTATTATCTTGAAATTATCAATTGTTTGGCTATCGCGATGGCTTGCAGGATAGAATTGCGGTAAATTTGTCGAGAATAACCATGAATAAACCGGTAGTCCAGGCTAGAATAGCGGCTAACTTTTTTCGACCTGTGGATATAGTAACGATAGAAAGAGAGCTTTTGCCTAGTAAACATCGTTGAAAACCGGGTTCTTAGAAATTTGAAGTTTTGAAGTAAAGTTTAAGCGCAGAAATTAAAAAGCGCATATCATTCCTCTTTAAGAAATTAGCTTTTGTTTGTGTGGCAAATCAAAAAATCAAAAACTAAAATAAAAATAGAAGAATAGAGTTTTTAAATGAGTTTGGAGACAGAATAAAGTTCCATGTAACACCTTTCTTAGAGTGCTTACAAAGAGAGGTAACATTTAACAATTTTAACAATAACTCTTCATATTCAAGACCCGAAATCAACCATACTTACCCATTTTGAGAAAGTTAAACTTGTTTCCATTTTGATTCGACTGAGTTTGCGAGTTACACAGCGCTAGAAGTGCAGGATTCTATCTCTAGACAAGAGCAGGTTTTCTCTACCACGCGCAAATGACGACGTTGTTAGCAGTGGCTTGGGTTTATATCAGTTATGATTTGAATCGCAGGTGTATAATTTCGTATTGAAATATTTTTAAGGGGCGTTGATGTCATAAATGGCCCCACTTATCAAATACCATGTCATTTATGCAAGTTTCCTTTATTTCCGATAACGAGTTTATGACAGTTGTTCAGGCTCGAGCGATCGGTTTCAAGATTACACAACTTCCTCTTTTCTTTTTTCTCACGAAAAATAAATGTTGTTTTGCTTTAAGTAGCCCTTAGAACTCACTGTTCTTCTTGTTTGTATTCTGCTCTAATTTGGGAACATTTCGTCTGGGTTAAACTTTTAGTTACCTTACTCTCAAATATAGAATTTAAATTCAATCGAGCTGGGCAGTTCAATTCAGTTCCTATTGTATTAAACAAAGAGAGTGGGCTTTTCTTAAAAAGTTAAATTTGGAATGAAATGAGAGTCTTTCATTCCCAAACTAAACCAAATTGAACAGAAGGAAACTCAGTTAAACATAGTTTGGATGAAGGTGTCTGCAAGACCGGTTGAACTTCTTGACTTCTTAGATTAGTTGAATTCAACGAGAGTTTAACAAAAACGTTTAATTTGCAAAGGAAAGAAGGTGGGCTTAAAGTTTCCACGTAATCAAGTTTAAACAGAGATAAATTCAACTAAATATAGTAATGACCGAACTATACACAGAAAATTAAGAATTATCTCCGAAAAGCAATTTGTTCTTGGTTGGAAACATCAGCTAAAGGTTGGGCTTCCAGAGGGCATGAGCTTTTCCTTCTCAATCACAAGAAAGCTATTTCATTTGCTTAAAAGAAAACAGAATTTGATATCGATTTTGAGCCTCCACGTGTTCCGGCGAGCAGGTGAAACCATATGAGTTGCTTGGTCATTAAAATTTCTAGAACCTGTGAAACCAAGCCGTTCAAAGCCATTAGTGAAAGTCTAATAAATGGAGTTGTGAGTGGATTTTGAAGAGTTCTCAACTGTTTCAACTTTATATCCCCTAATAGCGGGCAAGGCAATATGTTTGAAGGCCCTCGGTAAAATTGATGGGCTGTGGGGACTTTAGTTGTAAAACAAAGAACGAATATTCTAATTTTGCGTCAGCGTTCGTTCTTAATGGCAAGACAATATAGTGACCGTCTCGCCGTTCACTTATAAATTTATCTCTGTATTGTTCATCCTGTCATTGACGAGGGATAATCTATGCCATTCACGCTCATGTGCAGGTTATTCATAGAGCAATTAACGGTCCTGAATGCCAGACTGAAAAATATTTTCTGAAGCTGTTTCTCTACGAGGAATCAAAGCTTTAACGGTTTGTGGTTTTCTATCTTCCTTCTGGAACACTGTCAAAATTATATTGGAAATTGTTCCTTAATGTCGCTAATAGTTTCTCGAAATAAAATATCTTAGAAACAGCCAATTTTGTTTCTTAAGGTTAATAGCCTAAAGGTAAAAAAGCGATGCGCTCAGTTTAAAAAGAAAAAATATATATGTTTATATCTCCGTGCATTTTAAACAGTTTGTAAGACTTGAAGAAATAAAGTATGATTAAACTAAACAAACCGTGATGTTTCTGTTTTTCTTTACACTTAAAAGTAATTTTATTGTAGATTTATTTTTTGTTGGCTTAAAAATTTTCCTGATATAAATCGGTCGCAAACGCTTAATTTCTTTTCATGCGTGACTATCAATAGCACATTAAGACACCTTCTTTAGCTTATATCTAGAGAGAATGGTTTCTTCCGTACTGGGCAGATATATTCCTTAGCTTTTGCGATATTAGGATATTCGCACTGGCTTTCTTTCCTTAAATATCTAGCTCTCTTTGTTTCTAGAATTTGCGTGGTTATCGAACAAAAACTCACCGCCAGGCTCTATTTCCTCAAGTTTACTGATGCTCAACGTGCTGTCATGCAAGGAACTCATATTTGGCCCGTCTTGTCAGTCTATCAGGGTGATAAGTCAATAAATGACCGCTGTTATATGACAACCGTGTGATAATATAATTAGTGAGCCACGTATTCTTGCTGTGATAATTGCGTTTCACCTGTTGATAATCGATGCCTGCTGATATTTCGTTCAGGTCTTTTGTCTTTACTACGTGTGGGTGGTGTTCCGATGTAATACTCGATTATGAAAATTTCTTGGAAAATTGAAGTTAAGTCACTTTCATGGAGCGCGCTTTTTGCAAATAACTATGACAATCACTATGGCTTGTTGGCAGAAATGTTTGGATGAACTGCTTCACTTAGTTAAAATTGGTGATTCGCGGGGCATTTTCTTAACGCTTAAGTAGTAATCAGAATCATTTTTATTATAGGAAATACTCTAACTAGAAGGATAAATCTTCAACTGTTCCTTTTACTGTAAAACCTCTATACCGCGGAACTCTTGCGCGAATACAACCATTATAGAAGAAAATTTAGTCACCTTCCACTAGCTCCTTGGCGCAGAAGGCCTCAGAAAAAAAAGCAAAAGAAAAAAAGAAAAAAACTAGTACATATTCGTCAGCATTAGGTGGTCGATGTCTAATCGAGTCCTGCTCGTTGACGCTTCTGGTGCGCGACTTACGAGTAACAAGTTTGCTAGTCAGTAACAATTTGAAAAAATGATTGTCGTATTAAAAACCTATGAGTTTGACAAAGTCTAAGACCATGAAAAAAGCAAACTAATTTCTTATAAACATGTTAATTACATAATCTTACCTTTTTTTGATTGTGAAAGAATCGTCTCAAGTAAAATCAAAGATAAAAAGCGAATGAAAGATAAAAAAACACATTACGAACTTAGCTTTTGGACTGAAGACGAGCGGACGGCATATAGTTGGCTTGAGATTCATGTATTATGAGCCGAGTGCAGCGAGTTGAGGACCGTGGAAAATGACCAAGGGCAGAATAGATGTCTGTTTTCTTGATTGTCTTGACAGTCTTACTCAGTCAGTAATTCTATTACTCCACCCTTATCGAGGTTGATTTTGTTGTAAAGTTTCGAAAATGACTTAGTGATTGTTTTAGAATTGGGGCCAGACAGTTTTGTCAACCCGTCTGCTCTTAGACACATTAGCTTATGCTATTGGTGTCGATACGCGTGGCACTCAGTCAGCAGGCCTGGCAATGGTACAATTATTTGAGTTTATATAATTTCATAACTAATTGCAAAATAAGTAAGTTAGTTGCTCACGAAAAACGTCGCGTAGGGCCTTTTTGGTATGTTTTTATCTTATCCCTGATCAAGAGTCGAAAATTCTAACATCTCTTAGCTCCAGACACCAAATCGCTGCTAAATAGCCAACACTAAATCTATACAAATAACTCGACAAAACGATTCTTTAATAACTTAAGCAACTTGCTATTGGTTATGAAACGAATCATGGTTTTACAGTTGTTGTATAGTGTTTGCCATAGCGTTAGTCATTTTCGCGCGTTTGGCAGGCGCGTCGTTGTTTCCGTAACACGTGACATTCCATACGCTAAAATGGCGCCATCCAAGTAAGCGTGCATCATGCCTGGATAAAATACAAACATGAAAAATATATATATGCTTGATGTAATGTTGCATTGACTTTTTCCATAAAGTCTTAATTTACCGTCAGATTCATATGAATGATATTCAAAGAAATTGATTATAATCACTACTTATTACATAATTATAGATTTTTTATCGAACATGTAGAATTTATCGTGTGCCTTGTCTGCTTGCTTGTCTTCTTCCACAAATATTATGACTGACAAAATTACTTTATTGCCTTGTGGCGGGCTTTATCGTTTTAATTTGTAATTTGCACTGCACTGCAAAGTAATGCTGTCGTGTCCGTTATTTTTGTCGGTAAAATAATAAATGATTTATCCGATCAAAGCGCAAGCAATTAGCGATTTACACTACTGTGATGCTTGAGATTGTTCCAAATTGTACTTTCTCAAAGACAATTTTGATAGAATTTTTATATCCTTAATTGCACTGGCATATTCATTCGATCACCTATTTACTTCACCAACATATATTTTTCTTTTTTTTATAGATTTAACTCCGTGCTTTGAATACAAATCATGCTAGCGTACACTTTGGCAAGTACCACTTCCTTATTTCGAAACGTGTGTGGAATATCAAGTGCTCACAAGATAACACTGTATAGTGTCTACAGACAAACGTGTCTTCAATATAGTCGGACATGATCCGGTAATCCCGCTTTATTGATTACGTTAGCATGGCTAGGTGCACTATCGTCCCATAGCTTAATTAACGATTTATATGAAAAAAAAAAGAAAAGAAAACCGTGACGTACCTTGATCAAAGGAAACCAGTCGATTGTAATAATGGTTTGAATTTGAAGAACAGTAGTTGCTATGTGAAATGACAGAAATCCATAAGGAAGGAAGAATCATTTTTATTTCAAGAAAGAGAACGAACTTTCAAAACATTTTCTCCTGCTTCAAGTAGTTTCGAGAGGGTCTTTGGAAGACGAGGAAAGCTGTAAAAACGTGAGCCGTAGGCGAGTGTTTTCACAGCTTTTTCTAGTTGTCCCACTAGCGAGTGCTGATATGGAAACCAAACAAGGGAAGTTTTCGTTCTATCCAAGGAAGTTGAGTAAGGAGTAACGATGCAATGCCGTAGAAACATCAGCCGTGGGCGAGATTTTTCATGATTTTATCGAAATCAAACAAAGGAAGGTTCCTTTCTATCCAAGGAAATTGACTGAAGAAGTAACTATACAGACCAGAGGAAACATGAGCCATGAGCGTGTTCCCGTACCTTTTTTGAGTTGTCTCGCAAGAGAATGTTGCCATAACTTTATGAAAACCAAACAATCCATGTGATGTTTTTTTCTTTTTTTCTCGAAGGTAAAAGCGTATAGGATGTTTATAGGAAGCTATATATTGCCGTGGAAATATGTTTCGTAGTCTAGCCTTCCTAAAGCTGTTTTGGTTTCTACCGAACAGCCACTTTATGGAGAGTAAAGGAAAGAACCTTTTTCCTAGGAAGAGGTAGAAAGGATATTCTGTGAAAACGAGAAAAACTAAGTGGGCATAGGAACGTAGGCGAGTTTTTCGACACCTGCATTTTGCGAGTGTGTTCTCCCACACGGAAATTGTATCTAGTTATATTGTCGTTGTATCCAGGGAAAACCAGAGGAAGTAGAATGTGCAATTCAAAATTACAAACTGATACAATGTTGTGCAAGCATGAACCGTAGGCGCGTATTCGTATAGCTGTTGTCCCCCGCACATAAGTGTTTCCGTAATTCTACATACGACATGGGAAACCCTGTATATTTCAAATTCAATTTGAAATATACAGTTACCCAGGAAGTTAAATATTAAGCATTATTTTTAAAAAAGTATAAAAAAATAGAAGCAAGCTGCAAGCACTAACCGTACGCGAGTGTTTCAACAGCTGTATCGTGTTTTGTCACTTTTTTGTGAGTATTCCCATAACGACAGACACACGTTGAAGTTTTCAAGCTCGATCTCGAACGGAGAAGGAACCGATTTCAGGATTCAACTATAATACAGAAACAAGCTGCTACTTTGAAACTTTGCATTAATTGTGACAGACTTTGAGATATCAATGTTACAATATCAAAGTTTCAATTTGAATTCGCCCTCGCTTGCTGAATGACGATTGATGGAATACATAGGATTCTTTGCGTTTTAGATTCTTACAATGAAAATTGTCTTCTTCGACAGTTTAAAAACCTTAAAGTTCAGTTATTTACAAGGAAATACTTAGATGAACACGTTTGTATTGTTTTTACAGCTTGCATAGCTCATAAATAAATAATATTCTTTTTTACTGATTATTCAGAGATACTTGAATAAAGCTCTCTATGAAAAGGAACAACAGATTAAATTTCAGTGTCCATGCATTTAGCTATACACCTTATGTTTTGTTTCGGAGGGCTTTACACAAGGTCTGGATGAAGGCCAAAATAGTGCAATGCATAAAGTGGTGAAATGTCCTTTTTGTAACAGTGCAAATGTAACCATGATATTTGATTCTTTTTGTCAACGTGTGGCATGGACAGCGTGGTTAAGGTTATAATGTACACAATGGTTGGTTGATATTATTCGGTGCGGAAGTCTTAATGGCATTGCAATTTAAAACTGAGAACTTTGACGATCGTTCGACGAAATCCTATCTTACGTTCAGTTGTAAACAATTATTTATAAGTGTAATAAACAAATGAACACAAGACGCCATTCGTTTGGGAAAATCCCAAATTTCAAGTGTGGAATTTAACACCCTCGGAATAAAGATTGACGATGTTGACGAAGTGGAAGCCATTAATGCGATCATCACACTAAGACTTGAATTATAGTAATACATGATTACAGTTGAGTGTACGATCTTTAACATATACCCTTTCTGGTGCGATTGAAGCTAATTTTAGAGACGTATACGCAAATGATGAAAATATACGCCATTATGATCTCTTCGTTGTGGAGTTGCCTTTTAACTAGCTTTTAAGATACACTCTATTTTATAAGAATATTGCTTTTGTGGCCCAAGCTAGATATTCTTATTTTTCTGCCGATTTTATGGTGAAAATATTCCTGGGAATATTTTTAGATTAGATTAAGGAATAAAAAGTGGACTTTCCCGACGCAACGTCAGATTATCTGTCCTATCATGACTTTGAATTTTTGAGCCAGACTGCAGGCAATATAGTCTGATATGACACACATAACTTCTTGCAGAAATGTTAGTAGATCGCACAGGCAGCTAGTGCTGTTTTTGTTGATCTTTCAGGCTGGTTTTGCCGTTTAGGGAAGGAAGAATGTTTTATACAGTCTAGTGAAAAACATTTTATTGCATTGTATTTACAAATTTCCAACACAAAAATTGCATTCTTTTGAAAATCTCAGCCTCGGGTTTCTTCTTAAAATATTCTTAACATTGCGCGAATTTCAGCCTCGATATCCTTATAAAGTATATTCGCGCTTATAAAAAAGAAAGAGTGTATGAAGTAAAATTATCACTTATGTACGTGTGATGTTTTTTGCAACATAGTGTATGTAAATTTGTAGACAGTGGACCAGACGGTACTGACTTTGGGAGTAAGGAAATAATGGTTGTT